CCATTTCTTATACATAATTTTTTATTTGCAACCCAGCAGGCAAATTCTGATTTAAATTCCTTGCGATATTTTTTAAAGTAAGTACCATTAAACGTTGGGTTAAGTATCAGTTATAACGTTCTTCTTTGCAAGGGTCGATTTAATGTTTTTAATTATATTAAGGTAACCATACAGAGAGGTTCTCAAACCTCTCAATTCAGTTAGAACGAATGGCAACAGACATGGAACAACTGATTCAGTGCTTGCCTTAAATTCCCCTCGCCCCATGTAATCTTTTGAATGGTTACACTTAATAAAATTTGGGATACCCTAATAAATTGATAAAAACTACTTTTTTCTGATAACTGCTGACATAATCGTGGCGAGTAGCACACCATTTGATAGGTATTTCAAAGAACTAGTCAGCCATATTAATTTTGTTATAAGCAGTTTAGAATATGATCTTATTAAAAATGATTGATCAAAATGGCGTTTCGATGATAGTTATTCCAATTACCAATGTAACAGTTCTTTATATAAGTTCATTTAAGTATATCAAATACAGCACACGCGTTATCATTACCAAAGACTACGTGGACAGGGCAAACAATCAGACTCCTAACTATTCTTATTTTAGCAATATTTCTCCTCTTACGAACAGCGCCTTTTCGTCGATATTTCATATATATTTATACTAAATGTTGATCTGCGCTTACGTTGACCTATGTTCAAATTAAAGAAAGATTATTTTAATTCCAGAGTTTTCACTGTGATATTTATGATTAGTTATTTCTAAAATTGGAATAAAATTAGGTTGGGATGTGTTTAGAGATATAAACATGCAAAGTTTATATTTATTTTGATGTGTTTTGTAACCTCGATTTTGAAAAAAATTGATTTTTTTTTTAAACTATGTGAGGAAGTAAACCCTTGTCTATTTTAGGTTATATCAAAAATACCTAGTTATATTTTCAAGTGTTTATACCTACTTGCAGTATTAATACCAGACAAGCTGACAACTTTTTTATAGAAGTTCCTTAAAATATCGATATTTAAAAAGGATGATGGGCTACAGCAACATTAAAAACACACACTACCATCGTAATTTTACTTGCGAAGACCATTTTGACGTAAGATATTTTTTAATTTATAAAACTTTGTAGGTCTATATAACTTATTATTTAACAATGGGGCTGTGAGTACTAATAAGTAATAATTATATTTTATTAAGAAATGTACTTTTCTGGTGAAAGAAGATGCAGAACAGTGGATGCAGTTCAATTTTTTTTGTGTCATCGGCGTCAAAATTTAAAAACAAAACGAGATATTGTGCCTCATAAATACAGTACTGTCCATGGATGGGATCCCCAAGGGGGAAACAATCTTTATTATTCATTTTACGACCAAAAGTCATTCTTTATAAAAAGTTCTGCTTGTTGAGAAAATGGAGTTGCCTTATAAAAATTTTAGATTAAATGTACAGGGTGTTAATAAATTAGGAAAATATGATAATGCTTCAAGAGGGAAGTACCATTATTTATTATTTTTAACAAAAATTTTATAAAACAAAGTTGTTTATAAACTAGCATAGAGACTAAATACAAATTTTTAAATAAAAATTCCAATATTTTAAAATTATTCTACATAACTACCTCCCACCTAGACACATTTTCCCGCTAATATTCTATTTTAAAATATTGGAATTTTTATTTAAAAATTTGTATTTAGTCTCTATGCTAATTTATAAACAATTTTGTTTTATAAAATTTTTGTTAAAAATAATAAATAATGGTACTTCCCTCTTGAAGCGTTTTCATATTTTCCTGATTTATTAACACCCTGTACATTTAATCTAAATTTTTTATAAGGCAACTCCATTTTCTCAACAAGCAGAACTTTTTATAAAGAATGACTTTTGGTCGTAAAATGAATAATAAAAATTTTTCCCCCTTGGGGACCCCATCCATGGAAACACTATATATTAATAGATTGCCTAAAATTATGATTATAAGCTCTTTAAATTCCAAAAAAAAAAGAAGAATTTAAAACTTTGAATTGGAAGAATGTTTGGCATCAACCTCATTTGAGTATAATGTATCATCACCAAACTACCAAAAGCTTCTTCAAAAATAAAATATGTCGCCAAAAAGCTCCTCAAAACAGTGAATCACCAAATGAAGAAAGTATGAAAGTAACAGCACATTTTATATCACCATTTGGCTCATTTTGGATCCACTATTTAGAAAAAACTGCACAGACATCAAAGTCAGTTCACGCAAAAATAATACCAGTCAAGTATGTGGACTGAGACCAAATATTAGGATTTAAAAAAATAATATAGTTGCAGAAAAAATTTGTTCTCCTATTTTAATATTGCAAAGTGCCATACTAAAATAAAACTTAGTTTAAAAAAATGTTTCAAGTGCTGTAAGTTCATCTTTTAGACTGCTACACTATCAACAATTATTATTCTGGAGTCATATGAATACTACTTCTAATGAAGAAACGCCATCTGGGCCTAGGTCTAAGAAGGATTCTACTTTACATTTAATAAAACAAAATTCCAAATTTTATTTATCCTGATGATCTATATGAAATTGAATTTAATATTTTTAATTGTTGCAAGGCTGAGCTTTAACAACCAATGTCACAACAGTCTTATCCAAATCGAATTTTTATTCTGAACACCTCATCCGTCACAAAAAAGTCTTACGATTTTGATATTGTCTTCGAATTTAAAGTTCGTCAGGGTATGATAAACAGACGAGGCTACTTCATTTGAACCTCTCTGGTGGTCTAGTAGAGTCCATACGTATGACCTTACTGAAGATGGATTAATTTTTTTCCTTTGAAGTGCCCTTTATAATCGCAATATGATAAAAATTCAAATGCATACTAAAATAGGATTGTTGATGGGGGACTTTCAGTAAAGCCAAGTTCTTTTAACAGTCAAAGTTAAAAATTTCTACTTCTGGGCCCATTTTTTTTAAGAATTTCATAAAAAACTATTGGCATATTGTGGCCTCGTTGCTGAACCAAAAGTTGATGTTTTGTTTCGGCGTCAGCCAGATATGTTTCTATTATAAAATGTATTTACCAACCGTTAATAGATGTATTTAAAATACAATTCGTTTAAAAAATATGCAAAAAATTATCAGCGTTGATTTTAATTCTGACAGTTTTGCAAAATAAATACAAACTCCATAAAAATAAATAGCCTGGAGTATTTATTTATATGTTTACTATCACTTCGTAAAATATTTAATTACTAACTACAATTAGAACATTTAAACAAAATTGACAAACAGTACTGTGATTACGACATTAAGACTCTTGCATAATAATGTATTGAAAATATAAATTACAAAAATCTGCAGTGATATTTAAAACTACAGAAAACTGTCAAAAGTGTTTTAATATAAAGACTCAATTATTAATGGTAATGTAATTGAAACAGAAATGTAAGCCATGAGTATTATTAATGTTTATAGAATATCTATTAAAGAAAATTTTACAAAGTTTTTTTTTTATTTAGTTAATAAAAACAATAAAAAATATTTGCCTGGTCCATAATATCACCATCAAAATCAACATTTAATATCTAAACTTCCTTATTATCTTCAAAATTTGGAGATGCCACACAAAAAGCCTTTAATGTTTTTTAGAATGCACCATTAGTAGTTGCATTTGAAAAAAAACTTTCTTTTACTTTGCCATTTGATGTATTACAATTCAAACTGTTCTCTTATAATTCAGTGACATGATAATCAGAATTGCCATCAGGTGAAGATCGGATAATTTTTATTAAAAAAAAGCCCAATTTATTGATGTTAATATTATTAATTTGGCTAACAATTTTTATCACTTTAGGCTCTAATTTTTTATCCCTATTTAGAGCTTTAGTCTCAATGGGTGGATTTACCTCAAGAATATTTTTTTTAGACAACCTGAAAAGATTTTACCTCTAGCAATTTCATATAGTAAGGTAGCTGTAATGCGTCCAAGTTCAAACTATTCAGGACAGTTCGATAGGTACCTTGTCAATATTCTGCTCTCAGGCAAACACTCTTAGACATACTTTTTGATATAAATGCATGAATAATTCATCAATGTTACTAACAGTCTTTAAGTTTTTAAATTTAATTCGTACTTGATGCACACTAATATTTAAAAACTTTGGATTTCTATGTAACAGGAATAAAACTGCTTGGCGTTTAGGAAATTCTGTTAATAGCTCTTTTAGAAAAACTTTAGGAGGTGGCTTGATTTTTGTGGTCAAATAGTATCGACACCCTCAAGTCAGTGGAACGTCCAACTTTCGATAACAATGGTCCTTTCCAATAACACAATTTCTATGTAGTAGAAGGTTTTTGACTTCGACGATGCAGCTACAACAAGAAAGCAACACCATGTTTGCAACTACCTTAAAAAATAATAGAACTTTGTAACATATTATGCTTACAGTTTTTATTTATTTAAAATTGAAAGAGATTTATATTAAATTCGAAAGCAGAACAGTTTGTGCATTCACAAGTCAACATTATATGCTTTTTGCAAATGTTGTGTTCTGGGATATTCCCATTTTTAAAGTTACACAAAACACCCTCTCTTTCATTGTAGACCTACAATAAAATAATTGTTACTTAATAAATAGGTAGGTATAGGCAAAAATCAAATAATAACAGAAGTGAGTAGCAGTTAGTTATCATAACAGATAAATTTGTAAAATATAAAGAAATTTGTTTCTTTTTTTAGACAAATTTTTTTTAACCTAATTCAAAAATTGTAAATTATTTTACAGCTAAAAAAGCGTACTTACCGTTTGGTGTTTACGTTGCAAATTTTAGAGTTAATGAACTTTATATTATTTATAAAAAATCATTTATGTCAGAATTTATGTAAGTTGTCTGAAAATAAAGATAACCCTCTCAATCAATTACACATGAGAAGTATCTTTGTTTTTATTGCAACATTTAAGAGAGATCCAGGCCATAAGAATAGGACCTCCCCATACAGCAGCCCTAATGATGATGGGGGAGTAGTGTGATTAACGATAGAATTGTACCCACACCACCTATAAAGTTCGTGTTGCTGGTGAAAACATTAAAAAGTGATGATGTATCATGATCATTCCTAGCTTGTGTTAAATATTTTATTGGATCAATGTCACCATAAAAAACATAATTAATTTTCAGATAAAATACCTGTATTGGAAGTTTTGATGAGCTAGATATGTCATGAAATGTTGACACTTCGCAAATAGATGCCGATGTTAATATTTCCAATGTGTATTTGGATCTCCCACAAAATAATTTGTAGCTACTCAGAGAACAGTTTGATGTTATATATAGAGCTCCTTCAGATGTTATATTTATGGGATTGAGAATTGCTAAGGTGTTCCTTCTGCGTCCTGTACACGCTTGGATGTCTATCACTTCAAAATTGCATGAAGCAATACTAACTTGAAGGTGGTTCATGTCCAAACCAGAAGTATAAGCTGTTAGTGAACCATGATAGAGGGGTTCGCGTATATTGACTAAACCATCTCCATAAGAGTCATACCATATAGGCTTATATTCTGCCCTACTTTTCCAATCCCTTATATACTTCGAATTTTGAATGGGAGACTCAGCAAGGTCACATGAAATGCTGCATGAAGATTGGTGACATGTCAGCATTTGCTCTAAGGGAAACTTCACATGCTTATTATCAAGTGTTTTCTGGTATACGCCAATTTGTCCAACGACAAGATTATCTATTCCGCTAGCTATGACAGGTATACCTATCCCACTCTCAATTTCTAATATGTGATTATCAATCATACTGAGTTGAGGCTTGGAATGAAGTACAAATAAAATATCAAACCCTAATCCAACTTCAGGGCGATTTTCATCAACAGAAATCATTTTCTCAGCATACTCATTCCTGATCATGAGATTCAGAGACCATGCTTCATATGAATATGTATATAGCAAGTAACAATCTGTTTCGTTCACTGTTGCTTGCACCCACAAGCATCTAGAGCTCTGATCAAAACCGCACCACCCTGGGCATAATCCTTGCTGAACGCATCCAGATTGGTACAGAAGATTGCCACTTCCTATAGGAGGGAAGGTACCTCTGTCGTCTTTATTGGTATGGGTACATTCAGATGCTGAGCAACTCCCAGCGTGCCAGCACCGCTTGTGAGATGCTGTATGGATCTGATAATTACATGTTTTATATAAGGGTTTATAATATCTACGCATAAACATATCAGTTAGTTTGATATATATCAACGTATTATTTGTATTAATGAAACAAACCGTTTGTCCTAGTGTCATTACGAAACTAGAAAATGTTGTAGAAGAGCATGTTTCATCTGTACATATTTTATTATTACTTTTGATAAAATAAGTCATATTACAGCTTAAAATGGTGTGATATAAAAGGAACACTGGCACAAAGGGTAATATTCGGTTAATTTGGAAAATCATTATAACTGATAATAATGATTACTAATTCCACAATTGATAAACCAAGATTTAGTTATTAACTTTATACTTGTTGAATAACTGGAGATCTACTGATATTATAATGATAATAATTTAATATTGGGGTACAATTGTATAGTATAGATGGATGCAATGGGGTATTTTGGTGTTTAACTACAATTATATTCTTTGAAGAATAATGAAACAGCGTTGCCAGACTTATCAGAGAAAATATTTTTTATAATATTGAATAAAAATTCGATTAAAAAGTTCATTAAAATAGTAAGTTTCTTCTTAAAAATGGAATTTAAACAAATATATTTTTATGTTGAAATATACGATGTTTCAATAATTATTTTCAAAGAATGCAAACAAGGTAAAAACATACCCACTACCGTGTGAAACATTATAAATCAGCCACTAAGATATTAGGTTTCATAAGGACGATGTTTGAAGCACAGTGAGGCGCGCGTGTTAAGAGAAGCACTGGTTAACGTGGAATTAAGCCCGTTATTTTTGTGATTGTAAGTGCCGGCTTTTTAACTCGTGTTCGAGGAGAATTGAATTTAAAGTTCAGCCCATTGGTAGCCCTAGGACCAGTTTTACATTTGAAGGCCGAACGTAGTTCAGACCATATAATAAAGGGAAAACTGGTTTTAAGAAGGTTTTAGCAGAATTTACTACTTTTTTAATTGAGGATCACCACCACTATTGACATCAAATACCCCAATATTTCTATAAACTTCGGCGTTAATAATTACTTCACGTTTTATTGACTTTTTTCTCTATCTCAGGGTGAGTCATGAGGAACCTTACAGACTTCTACCATATGTAGAGTCCCTTAAGGGGTATATCATATGAGCATTAAAAAGTGGCAACTCCCCTTCGTTATTAATATATTTATTAATATATTTTGTGAATTTTGACCAAACTTTATATGGCCGTAAAATCTACAAGGATTACTAGATTTCTTTAATTTTTTGGTGGAGCTTTACACTGGTGTCTATCATTTAATTCATATCCTCAAAAGTTAAAAATTCCAGGATTGGCTTAGGAAAAATTAATCTCGACGATTCATATCAAAAAGTTCGCCCTGTATAAGATTTTTTTAAATTATAATAAGATATTTTTAAAGTACATAGATAGGCAATCAAAACTGTGTATGTGACATTTTTGTCACATTTTCTTTAATTTTTTTATTAAGTTTTGATTTTGGGCAAAACTGAAAAATCACCTTAAGGGGTCACATTATAATGTTATAACTTAAAGAGATTTCTCTATTTTTTTGGTGGATCTTTACACTGGTGTCTAGCATTTAATTCATATCCTCAAAATTTAAAAATTCCAGGATTGGCTTAGGAAAAATTAATCTCGACGATTCATATCAAAAAGTTCGCCCTATATAAGATTTTTTTAAACTATAATATGATATTATTAAAGTACATAGACAATCAAAACCGTGTATGTGACATTTTTGTCACATTTTCTTTAATTTTTTTATTAAGTTTTGATTTTGAGCAAAACTGAAAAATCAACTTAAGGGGTCACATTATAATGTTATAACTTAAAGAAAAAATTGTTAATGGTATACATTTGAACTAAAACGAGTCTAACATAAGCCTTTAGTGCCTACACCGTTAATATCATTTTATTCAATTTCCAGGCCTAGTTATAAATTTTTAATTAATTTTTAAACAAAAATCACCTTGTACATTTTTGGAGACTCAAATAAATTAAACATAAGTTCATATGTATTTATTAGAAATATTTTAGTTTGTTTAAATTTCATCAACAAACAATAAATAAATTTTAACGAATTAGAATAACGAAAACTAAGAAATTTAAAAAAAAAACTAATACTACATACATAGAATAATGATAACATGTATACTAGAAAATAAAATCATGGTAATAAATTAACAATTACAGTAGTTGTTCGAAATGAAAGGATAATTCTATGAATTAATTGTTATCGGTCATTAATATTTTGTGAATAAACTAATTCTTTCAATCGTCCCCAAATATAGTAATCTACGGGGTTAAAATCTGGGGATCTTGGAGGCCATGAAATAGGACCTGCACGTCCTATCCATCTGTTGCCAAAAACATTATTTAGATGGTTTCTTACCGCAACTAAAAAAATGAGGCGATGCTCCATCATGTTGGAAATACATCCCTCGGATACCTACGTTGGTAAGTAAATTAGGCAAAGTATTTTGCAAAAAGTCTAAGTAAACTTGCCCTCTTAAAGGACCATCAAAAAAGTGAGGTCCTATAAATTGGTTATTTATCACACCATTTCACACGTTCACACATCCCTTATAAACTGTGCTTCATCTGTAAACAATGTTCTATACAGTACTGGTCTATGATTTGCAATCCACCTACAAAATTCCAACCTATGGATTTCATCTCCAGGGTGTAGCGGCTGAACTAATTGAATATGATATGGGTGTTAATTATTTTTTCGTAAGACTCTAGTCACTTTTGATTGGGTAACATAAAGTTGTCGACTTACTTTCCTGGTGCTTATTGTGGGGTTTGCAATAACAGCATCAAGAATATTATCTTCCTGCTCATGATCTACATTTCGTTCTGTATTTGCTTTAGGGAATGTGCCATGTTCTCGCAAATAATTAAAAACTGATGCAAATGTTGAATGACAGGGAACTCGACGACCAGGAAATCTTCTATGATATTCTCTTGCTGCAGCTCTGCCATTCCCATTACAGAATCCGTACATAAAAATGATATCTGCATATTCTGCATTTGAAAACTTATGGGGCATTTTGAATAACAACACCAACAACAAAAATTCTAACACTATTGTAAAATAAATAAAACAAAGCGAAATATTATTTTACACGTATAAATAATGGTTGCAAATGACAAATAAATAAGAACAAACAAACGTCAAACTATCACAACCTACCTTGATACATAGGTATCTACGATGTATTTATAATAAAAATAAAACCACATAATATCTTAGTTGCAAGAATAAAATGTGCAGTTTTTATTAGAGGTTAATAAATAGCATTTATAATTATTAATTAATAAGTGTGAATTTATTGTTCGTTATTGTTATTTGCTACAATATATTTATTGATTATTGACATGTTTAATTTAGTTGAGTAGTTTCTATAGTCTACAAAAATAGGCCGATTTCTATTTAAAATTTAAAAATGAACTAATCCGGATCTGGAAATTGTCGAAAATGAATTTAACGATCTAGTAAGCTCACTAAAGGCTTATGTTTGGCTCGTTTAGTTCAAATGCATACAATTAACAATGTTTTCTTTATGTTATAACATAATTTATGTGACCCCTTAAGGTGATTTTTCAGTTTTACCCAAAATCGAACCTTAATAAAAAAAAGGTGACAAAAATGTCACATACACAGTTTTGATTGTCTATCTATGTACTTTAAAAATATCTTATTATAATTTAAAAAAATCTTATACAGGGCGAACTTTTTGATATGAATCGTCGAGATTAATTTTTCCTAAGCCAATCCTGGAATTTTTAACTTTTGATGATATGAATTAAATGCTAGATACCAGTGTAATGCTCCACCAAAAAATTTAAGAAATCTAGTAATCCTTGTAGATTTTACGGCCATATAAAATTTTGTCAAAATTCACAAAACACCCCGTCTATTAATAACGAAGGGGAGTTGCCACTTTTTAATGCTCATATGATATACCCCTTAAGGGACTCTACATATGGTAGAAGTCTGTAAGGTTCCTCATGACTCACCCTGAACAAAAAAAGAATGACCCTGTGACAGGAAAAATTATTTCTAGATTTTGAATGGTTTGAGGAGCAGAGCTGAACCACTTCATAGCCATTGTCAGAATCGTGCAGTTCTTATTTCGTTCTTCACATCCATCTGCAATTAAGCGAACAACTTTGTTAAGGCAATGGAATTCAGCGGACAATATTTCATTGGATCCTTTATTGCTCCATGTATAAGCTTTAACATTTAACTTATTGTGGGAAGATTCAGTAACAACAGTCAGATTGTAAAAATAAAGTTGCCTGCTATAATAAACAGATTAATCCGGAATCTTTGGTCAGTGGAAATTTTTTTGACAATCTGATAAAATAGTACATATATGCGGTTGATTTTCGCCAAGTCGACTGAAAAAAGCTTTAGCTCTGAGTTTGTTAATGCGTAGTCATGAAATTGGTTTTTGCTAACTGAGATGTGCTGACTTTCAGTCGTCTTTCTTGTAGTTGCAAATAATATGAGCACGCATCTTGCAAAGGACTGTCCAATTTTATACACTAAACTAAATAAGCCTTCTTTTATTGCATAGCCTGGTTAATATTGGTTATATAGTTTCTTTATAGAAAAATCAGAGTGAAAATATATGTTTCTTGGTTTTATCTCAGCAATAATGACTTTCAATTGGTTCGATCGATGCTAGAAATGCTTCTATGGCTTTTCTTCGTGCTGCATATGCAATTTTTTTTCTATCCTTTTTTCTTCTTTTCTCCGACATTCTTCCCTGTTTATAATACATGAAACACCATGTAACCGACATTTTTTTGATTTGAAAAATATGGAGAAAGGCAGTTTTACATACGGGTACCATTTTTTTGATGTCTTTTATGACAATGTTATAATCGGGTAACACTGATGTCGGTGGTGATGTTCCGGTTTTTGGTCGTACACGTATTACGTATACATATGTGTATATTTAGGTATTTTGGCGTAAACATCCTTATTAAAGAAAAAACAATTACTTCCGTTGAGGGTTTTGCAATGAAATGCA